ATAAGGGGAAAGAAGGAGCTCAAGAGAGGTAGGGACCGTAAGAGAAAGGGGGGAAATGGGGGCACCTTAAGTGGGAAATCTATGGTGGAGGGGTGAGACAATGAAAGAGATAAATAATGCCTAGTTTTGAAAACCAGAGGGAACCGTATTACTCCTACAACCTACTTATTTATACCTAGCAAATCAAGAAATATATGTCTAGGTAAGGTTTATCTGAGAACAATTGGTTTTTGCTCAAGATTTATCTACATGGCACACAGTAATTAAAAGTACCAGACTGGTGGAACTAACATTTTTAGATGTTTAGCAGACATACTTTGAGGCCTATACTAATTTGGTCAGAGGGACATAAAGGACAGTTTTTGCTCCTTGCCCTCCTAGGTCGACCAGTTCCGGGGGACTATTAGCATCTCTCAAAATGTCCTATAATTGTGGTGGGTCACCTATCCTCTTGATCAAGGAGGCTGAGGAGACCCCACGAGATGGACTTGAACCAGTGTCCAGTGTACTAAGAGGAGAGTCAGCACATAGGAATCACTTCCTCCATGATTACCAGCGAAGTCAACCATGGTGGAGCAGGACCTTTGACTTATCTTCACATAGGCGGAACTGGTAAAAGAAAGGAGCCAGGGGCTCCTCCCAAGCCCATGTGACCCCTGAGGAACAGATCCTCAAACGGCCTTAAGAGTAAAAATAACTTAGTTTATCTGGGCCAACTGTATGGCCTTAAACACCCAAAAGGAAAGTATAACCAAAGATTAAATGGAGCCAACATAATTTTAAGAGTCCATATGTATAGCTAAAGGCTACATAACAAGCAACAATGCCAGATAAGAGATACCTTCTTTTGAGTTGTTGGCCAGGGTAGCCCAAGGGACTCCCAGATACTAACCCAGCATAGAGCTGGGAAAATGAACAGCAGACCCCAATCTTATCTAAGGGACTATTGACAACTGATATCTGCTGGATGAGGAACAGCTGACCTTCCTAAAACAAAGCCCTCTAGATGGGCTGACTAGATTCACCAGATGGACAAGTAGTGGGGAACAGCTGGGGGTGCCTGCAACACAGTGGACGGTCGCAGGGATAACAGTATAAGGGCTCAAATGGGGGGAAGGAGGCCATAGAAGGGTGCCATCTGGGAAGTGGGTATAGTTGAATAAGATGGTTTGGGGTGTTCTGTGTGATATATTCATACCAAAAAATCAACAGATTAAAAAAATGAATTATATTTGAGGAGGAACCATAAAAATTTACGTCATGTTAATTAGTAGAGGTGATAAACATTACCATTGAAATCTACCCGATGACTTTTTATACATACACAGGTGCCAATGATGTGAATGGAGCTAATTATGACTAGTAATAATCAGATACATACAGATTAGAGACGTATGCGCCAACATCTCAGTGTTATTAGCAAAAAAAAAGAGTCTTTCTGTAAGAAACAGTATATTTTAAAATGAAACGGAGATATTTTTAAAGGTTAAAAACTCATTCAATTTTATGTCTTACAGGGTTTATACTGCGTTCAATATTGTATTTAGGTTCAACAGCGAACCTAAAATTTTTATAGCCACTTTTGAAAGCAACGTATCTTTGCTCTGGAAACTGTTACTGAGTATATTAACGCTGTAATGAAATGATTCTAAAAAAAACAAAAAAATGAAAATAATGAAATATTTTTAAAAATTACATTAAGAATGTTGCCTGTTAGTATGTCTTATTAAAAGTGGTGCCTGTTAGTATGTCTTAATAATAATGACTTTGAAGAGAGTGCAGAAAGATATATATCCCTGGCCTGTTTTATGTTATTTTTTTTTTTTTGTGTTTAGTGGGATGACCATAATGCAGGCCATTTTTAAAAAATTATTTGTTTAATAACCACATAATTAGAAGAAGCATCTCATTACAACAGCATTGACATAGTCTATAACAGTTTCCAGAGCTAAGATGCATCTCTTTCAAAATTGGCTGTAAATTTTTAGGTTTACAGTTGAATTAATACAGCTATACAATATTGTACTCAGTATAAACCGTATAAGATATGAAATTGAATGAGGTTTTATAAAAAAGATCTCCATTTCATTATTAAAATACAGTTTCATACAGAAAAATTATTTTTTAATGCAATTAACGCTTAGATGTTTGCATGTGTGTTTCTAATCTATCTGATTATTACTATTCATAGTCGGTTACTTTCTGAGAACCTTGGCACCTGAGTGTGGATATAAGTCAGGTAGAGTTCAGTGGCAATGTTTTTCACATCTACTAATTTATAAGCAGCAAATTTTTATGCTTTGAAGAATTATTTTTTTGAAGATATTTTTTAATCTTTTTTAAAAATATTTTATTTATTTTTATTTTATGTGTATGAGTGTATTACCTGCATGTAGGTAAGTGCACCTGTGTTGTGCAATGCCTTTGGAGGACAGAAGAGCTGTTGGATCCTCTTGAACTGGAGTTGTGGACAGTTGTTAGCTGCCATGTGGGTGCTGGGATTTGAACCCAGGTCTTCTGCAAGAACAGTCAGTGTTCTTAACCACTGAGCCATCTCTTCAGCCCTTAATCTTGTTTTTAAAAAAGTTTAAATTGCATTTGAGAATTTACCAATTCAAATAATAAATTTGACTTGGTCCCAATTTCATCAGTATATGTAGGCATTTGAACTGAATTAACATTTTTTTCCTCCTTGGTAGGAAGTCTTGTCTGGGGTGGTACAGTCAGGCTGAGTAACTTGCTTAGTTTTTTGCAGTGAGAATCGTGTTTAGATAATTTTCTCGGGTATCTTTGAATTGTGTAGTATTGGGATTTGGGGTTACGTTGGAATTTCATGGGTCATGTGTGGTCTTGAACATCCCTATCTTATTAGCATGGGCAACAGGCATAAGTGTAAACCTGCTTTGAATTACAGTTCAAAAGAAAGTAGAAAACACAAACCAAGTCCAGTCATAGATTTCTAAGACATAATCATGTAGGATATAACTTCCCAATACTCATGGACCATGTACTGGTAAGATGTTGTGATTTCTACTTAGTGTTCAAGAATATGATCAAAACATAATCTTCACAATATTTCAAGAATTTATTGATAGCTGGTTTTTACTGGTGATTAAATTGATCGTAAAATGAAAGAAACCATCTTCTGTATTTCTCTCCCCTTGTATTTATGGGCATTGACTTTGCCAGTTGACTGAGAGACCACCACTTTAATCTAGCAGCAAGCTCAGCTTTTATACAGGACCTTGGGGCCTCCTTTCTGTATTAAACAATTTCTGTGTTTGAGAATGACATCTTTTTGACTCATTGGGACTTGTATTGTCAGGTAGTTCCTTACAAAGAATAAATTCTAGACCTGAACAGGTAGTTTCAAATATATTCAAGAGAACATTTAGTCTAAGCCTGTTTATTACTGTATTTCTGTACTGTTCGGATTCTCAAAGTTTAAGGAAATGAAAGACAAGTATGAATTTGGATGTCTTGACCTGTACTTGAGTATATGTACTAAATACCTCTTAGCATTCTTAGATACGTAAAGTGGAATTTATTTCCTAAGGCAAATATCGTTGTGGCTATAAGCTGAAAATTTTCCACTTAGCAACCTTCGTGTTTCAGTTAGCCAGTTATATCCTTAGCTTCTAGATTATAGGAAAACTTCCATTTTGTTCTTCCTCTCCTCTAAGATTGTTCTTAGTCTGATATTGGTAGATCCTGACCCTATTATCTGTTCACTGCAGAGGAATGTACTTAACTCATGAGCCATGCCTCCCAAGGGAAGTTGCCAAGCCACTTAGAATGCCCTCCTTAACACTCCTTTAACTTCTTGCCTTATACGTTAGGGAGCTTCTGAATTGGTAGAAATGCTGTACAAACCTTATGCAGAGTGAATGAGATATGCTTACACAGTGGTGTCTTTTCCTAGGGGCCCAACTCCATGTTTTCAAAATAAGCCTAGATGATAGTGGTGATGATTTTACTCTCTTTCTCTACCTTGTCTTTTGCAAATCATGCTGGTTGAAGCATAGCCTTCTCCCTGTAATACAGTTTAGTTTAATTCATCAGTGTACATTTCTCATCCTTTTAGAGCTGACTGCTAGAAGCCAGGCAATTAAACTTTGTGGAGAGAGCCTGTAAGGAAACAGTTATTTCAAGGACTGGTTTTTCAGGAGATTTTTCCAATAGAATTTATGGGATCATTAAAGACATTGTCCCTCTCTCTCTTTTTTTTTTTTTAACTGGTGGTGAGCTGGTTTGCTGTTACTGTTAGTCCAGCTCCTGAGCACTGACCTTAATAGTAATTCTCACTCTGGTATGAAGTACAGACCGCCCTGTGTATTCCTGTGCCCCAAGGGTCTATATATTCAGATAAGATGCATAGAAAACTGGGTTGTTTGTTTGAAACCGCTCTAAGAAAGATTAGAAAGTATAGTAGGATAGTATCCTACTTGTGAGAAATCTGCCTTTCAGCTGAATATTGAATTCTGAGTAACAAGAAAAGGTACCAGTAGGTTAGTTAATACTTCTGTTGTGGTTTAGAAAAGACACTGCATCTCCAACAAAATGCTTGGCATGTAAACCTACTGCCACTTCCCGTTATCTTTCATCACTTGGCCGAGTTTGGAAAGGTAACGGTTTGTGCTCTAAGGAAGGATGCTCTTCCCTAAGACCCGAGGCTTTCTCATTCCTACCAGCTGGGCCCATTGCTAAAATGCTTTTCAGTGGACTTGCTTCTGCCTGGCCAGCACCTGGGCTGCCCCAGCTTGTAATTGGCCTGCCTTTGCTTCATAAGCTTCTCAGGGTGGTTCTTCTTCTAAAAGCTTGTATGAATTGCTATTACTGTCTCTTTATAGTTTAAAAATGAATCTTTTTTTGTTCTCTGCAACTCATTTGCTTTTTTTCTTTTCTTTCCTTTCCTTTAAATTATTATTAACACCTGTTGATTCTTTTTTTTTTTTTTTCTGGTTGGCCTGTCACTGCATCCCTGCTCCCCCTCCCTCTAGCTGGGTTTGTCAAGTCGCCCATGTCAGAAACTAAGCTCACGGGGGACGCCTTTGAGCTGTACTGTGACGTGGTCGGGAGCCCCACGCCAGAGATCCAGTGGTGGTACGCAGAAGTCAACCGGGCAGAGTCTTTCAGACAGCTGTGGGACGGTGCTCGGAAGCGCCGTGTCACCGTAAACACCGCCTACGGGTCAAACGGCGTGAGTGTGCTGAGAATAACCCGGCTCACCTTGGAGGACTCTGGGACTTACGAGTGCAGGGCCAGCAACGACCCCAAGAGGAATGACTTGAGGCAAAACCCTTCTATAACATGGATTCGAGCCCAGGCCACCATAAGCGTCCTTCAGAGTGAGTCCAGCACCCTACAGTAGTAGTACTGTAGTCATTAGAGGTGGCCCGATGACCCTTCCCTTCTGCTTCCTTTCCCTCTACCCTAGTATGATCACTTACCCCACCCCCTGTCTTGTTTTTTCAAACCCATGACCCTTCTGATTGTAGTGTACGAAAACATCTGTGGCAACTTTTTTTTTTTCCGTCCTCTGCCTCCCTTATCCCCCAACCCTTCTCTGTGTCTTTCTCCTCAGGAACAAAGAACTTGAGGAAATCCATGACTGTCTAAAGGCATCTGCGTTGGGAAGAGGCGGGGAGGGAGAACTGGGGAAGTGGAAAAAAAAAAAAAGAAAAAGCCAGGCAGTGGAACGAGGGTAGTGTTGAAATTGTTTCTTTCCCTCCTTAATTTTGTAGTAGGTTTCCTGCTATCCTTTTGCTGATTTCTTCTCTGGTGCCTTTCTATTTTTGTTTTTTTCTTCCCCAGTCTAACTACTTTTTATTGCATCTGTTCATCTGTTTGAAGCTCTCTGAGTAGCTGCCTTTACCTCTATGGTTTTAAGTTTGTGTCTGCCCTGCCTCTTCCCTCACTGTAACTTGGTGTCATCTTGTTCTGTTGATGGGAATGTTGCCATGGGTGCAGTGTGGTAGTGTGTTTTGTTGGGTAGCATGTAAGCTTGGATATTTCCGTAGTTCCAGCTCTTTCTTTTCTAAAGCAGTGGCATGTGCTCCTCTGACAGCAGCCCTCCAATGCAGCAGTATAGTCCTCACTGGGCCTGTTCCAAAGCAGCCACCTGTGATTCTCTCCATATGTCTTGCCTACAGGAGCTAGGTAGCCTCAAGCTGCAGACTAGGTCTTCTTTTTTTTTTTTAAGCCCCTAAATCATATTGTCTTGAAAGTCAGAGTCGTATCTGATTCCTGTTCATAGACAGCTTGACTTCGATGTTGCCTTATACCTACCAGTGGATGACGAACTCAGAAATAGCTTGGAAGCTATTCACACTATTTCCTTGTGTCTTGAAAAAAAGAGGAAATTAAATCCCAACCACATTCCTCTCTGTGATGGAATGAGTTGAGTAGCAGTATTAGAAGGTTCCCTTTCCTGTATTGTATCAGGTATAAGTAAAATGCTGGCAGAGCCTCTCCCGTGGTGAGTCCTCTTTCTGGAAAGTAACTTGGTACTTGTGTGGTAGGAAGAAGAGAGGCTATCACAGAAGCAGTGCTCCTAGCTGGGAAGAGGTCTGGTCCTGCATTAGATTTGGTTCTAATTGAGGGAGCAGTCTCAGTTTAATGGAAAGGACTTCTTATTTTCACATGATCTTCAAGGGTTCAGTGAGAAAGCTATAGCCACTTTTATCAGAAAGAACTGACTGCTGTAGAGTGAGAAAAAGTTGTAAAAGTCTATTTTTGTGAGTAATTTGGTAATAATAGAATATGACATGGGTCCTGAATATATAGACTTAAAAATGGAAATATAGCAAATTAATGCCTGTTTCGTATCCACTTGGAAAACTGGAGTGAGGGTAAGGGACAGGGAAGGCTTAGAGGAGAGACAGAAGAGGCTGCTGCAGTTGGCACTGCTCAGTCAGAGAACCTGCTTCTGCAGAGGGAAAAAGAAAACCTGTCTGTGTGAAAATGGAGAACATTAACCCAGTGATTTTTTTTTTTCTTCTTTTTTAAACAAATTTTCCCCCTTGCACGTCTCCTTCTCCTGCCCCCTTGCTCCTTTCCTTATGTATAAAACAGAATTATCCAAATGGCCACAAAGGTCTGCAGAAGTTTATAGGCATGGACTGGGCATTTGGTAGTTTTACTTCCAAGAAGCCTAACCTGTAGGTAAAAAAGGCCAGTTTTCCTACATTAGGGGTATTTGCGTGTGACTAAACCACATCCTGGCTAGTATGTCCTCTCCTTGGATATCTGCATCAGTCGACTGACTAATACAAATTAACTCCTTCCAGAACACCAGACTGTTGCTTCAGCACCATGAATTAAACTCTGATTGTTTTGTGATTTCAGACATCCCCAAAGACATTGCCTCCATGAGGAGGTTGAAGTCTTGTAAGAATTACCTACCAGCAATATTTTCCCAAAATTTCCTTGAATACTGTAAAGCAGAAATGGGTCCAATTTTTAGGGTTTCTTTGGCCATAGTATGTTTTTATATATACTATACTATGATGGTTAGGGTAAAGGTCTCCTACCTGATGCTTCTAACTAGGAGTCAGTGACAGGTATAAAAATGTTTACTTTTCCTAAACATCATCTGTCTTGGACTGGTACTGGGCAGCTCTGGGCCACAGAAATAAATGCCCCACCTTCATCCTGGTGCAGAATACAATGTGGTACTGCAGCCAAGGAACTCAGTCTAGCACTGGTTTCATGTACTGTAATCATAGGAGGCAGGTTACCCCACTCCACAACCCTCCTATGGTACAGAATCCTATTTAAACTATCCACTTGCTCCCAGCTGACTCTCTCCTGGATCCTTAACACTTGAGGGGAGAAGTGCTTTCTTATGCCTTCTAAGATTTCTTGGCAGAAAGTCTACCAGATTGCTTTCATCACCTTCTTAATGCCCCTGAGCTGCAGTGATCATTTGCATCGTCACAGGTAAGAGTAGCATTTACTTTGGCCTTGTGTTTGTACACAACTGGAAACTCTTGGCCTCATTCTCAGAGTTCACCCTTTCTCAGTGCAATCTGAGAGGAAGAACCAGGAGAGTCCCAAGTGGGACAGAAAATGAAATTGGACAATAAAAATTCAGTGAAAACCTAAAAGTGTGTTTGGGTTTTAATGTTGCCTTGATATTTTTAATTTCTCTTCTGTGGAGTATTGGTTCTATCTTTTTCTCTTTTGTTTTTGCTTGGTTTTAATTTTTCTTGGAATTGTGATGCTTTCTGCTGATGGTGTATGTGCGCCTTCCATTGCAGGGTTTGCAGCTGTTCTGCTCGACTCTTAAAGCCCAGGGATTTGGCTTCTGTCCAGTGTGTCTTGAAGCCATGGGACACCACTGCGCTAACGTGTTTACATGCATCTGCTTTTGTCTTAGTGGCTGCTATGCCTCCATTATTTGTATACAGAGACCCTGTTTGATGTTGCGGAACGGAAGATAACCATTATCCTTTTGCCAGAATTGGAAATTAGTTACATTCAGTTTGTTAATTGGGAAAACACCAAGATTTGCTTTATCATTAAGATCATAAAGATACTGACATTATAATCAGAAATGTTACTTTTATTGGTTAGGAAGTCTTTAAGCCCTTAAATTTTTCCAAATACCTCATGACTTCTCCATCCTCCCCCTCCTTGAACAATAAAGCAGTTTCAGTAGAGAAAGACAGTTCTGTCCTCAAGAATTAGAACCGTCCTTTATAAAATGGTGAGTGGAGGTGCTGTGGAAGGGTAGACTGGAAGTAGCTAGATACAGGGAGTGGGGAAATGAAGCTTGGGTTTCTGAGAAAGGGCTCTGGGGATGGCAAATAACCTCTAAATGTGAATGGGAGAAGATGATTGAGACTTCACCTGAAAAGTTTGCTCAAAAGTAGAAAAAGAACAAAGCCTGAGAAAAGATATAATACAACAGTAGGAGGAACAGACATGGAAATGTCCTGACTTTTAACTATACCAGTGAAAATTTCAAAATGCTTTTAAGATGAACCTTCCAGAAATGATACAATATGATTTAGAAATTTTCTGCTTAATGTGTTATATTTAACTAATACAGGTTATTTTTGTAGGTAAAGTGGTATCCCAAATTATTTAAGCCAAAGAGAGAATCAGAAAGTAGTATATGTATCTTGCATCAGAGTAGAAGTGTTTTGTGGGGTTTTTTTTTGTTTGTTTGTTTTTTGGTTTTTTTTTTTGTGTGTGTGTGTGTGTGTGGGAGGCGTTGGGTTACAGAGATAGGAAATTCAGTCAGATGTGTTTTTATAGGGCCACTTTTGCTACTAATAGTTTATGTCCTTGTATAAGTCATTTCACTTTTCTAGTTCATTAAAAAATAAGAGGAATTCAGCCTTGTAGTTCTAACATCGAGGAGCCCACAACCAAGACCTCACACTCCAGTATAATTATATTATCTTGAAATGGAATGTGTTTTAAAGTGCAATTCTGAAAAGAAAAAAAGCTGCTTTGGGAATAAATAATGGGCTAGAGAGAAGAATCAATAATTCCTAAGAATTTTCCCTCCTCAGAATTAAAAAAAAAAATGCAAGAGACTTCCAATGGGAAGCTTGCTTTTAAATCTAGCACTTTTTCTGTGTAATAGCCATGGCTGGTTTGCTCTAGGCTTAACAGATTTCATTTTGGGAAAAGCCATACATACTGCTGTTCCAAGGCCCAGTGGCTCCATAGGGAGTTTCTTATATAAATTGCAAGGTGGAGCTTGTTTTTTTTTGTTTGTTTTTTGTTTTGTTTTTAAATAGACACTGAATTGCCTGGTGGTTCTTAACTTCATAAAATTGTGGTATTCAGAACTGTAAGTGGATTGTTGCCAGTGCAAGCACATGTAATACTCCCATTCTTTCACGTCTAGGCCAACTGGTCTTCAGGCTGTTGTCTGCGCTAGTGGTCATTTTGCTTATAATCATTGTTTTTCTTTTTTTAACTTCCTCCAAAGTGGTAAAGTGAAAGTCCTAATGTGGTCCTGTCTGCCTTCCCTCTTCTTCTAGTCTCCCCTTCCTACCCCGTCCAACTTCCAGGCCAGGGCTGCGACCAGTGAAAAGCTATGGCACTCTATCATTGTGCACTCTAATTACAGAGCCAAGAATTGTCACGAGTGAAGAGGTCATTATTCGAGACAGCCTCCTCCCTGTCACCCTGCAGTGTAACCTCACCTCCAGCTCTCACACTCTTACACACAGCTACTGGACAAAGAATGGAGTAGAACTGACTGCCACTCGTAAGAATGCTAGCAATATGGAATACAGGTGAGAGAGCTAACAACTCTTGGAAATAAGGGGTGTGTGGCTGAGTTGACTTGGTATTATAATTTCATAATAATGAGGAATTTGCATATGTATTTTGAAACAAATGTGAAAATGTTATTTAAAAGATACATTGTGGGACATGGCTCTGCAGGTAAGGATGCTTGATACCAACCAAGCCTGATGGCCTGAATTTAAGTCTCTGAAACTCAAATGGTAAAAGGAGAGAAGCAACTCTGCAAGTTGTCCTCTGTGCCCTCCCAAATAAATAAATAAATAAATAAATAATGTTTTTAAAAAATACTTTATGTCTATGAGTATATTGCCTGCGTGGAAGTGCACCCATGCCATGCAGTGCCTACAGAGGTCAGAAGAAGGCATTAGATTCCCCTGGAACTGGAGTTACAGACAGTTGTTAGCCTCCATTTGGATGCTGGGAATTGAACCCACGTCCTCTGCAAGAGCATCCAGTGTTCTTAACCTCTGAGCCATCTCTCTAACACCTAAATAAGTGTTTTTTAAAGACTTACAATGTGAATTATTTTATTCCAGTATGATGGACTGTTTACTAAACTTTAACCTCCTATGTGGTTTTTTGCATGCTTCTCTAAGGGCCTTTCTTATTAGTGCATCACAAGCCTCATTAGTAATTTACACACATATATGTCAAAAAGATGAATTTCAGAATGTTTCTTAAAATTCATTATAATCTCAGTTATTTCAGTGAACTGAAATTATTTTTCAAACTCCAAACTTTGACTGAGGATGTATTTGGCCCTCTCCTGGATAGGCTAATCCAATATATCTGAGACAAGTTCAGGAATTGATAAAAGATTCTAAATGATTCCGGTAGCAGTTGAATTTGACAGCCGTATCCTCTCACGATAATAGACGAACTGAGAACAAATGGTAGTCATTGCTCAGGGTAACAATGTCAGTCAAGGCACAATTAGAATACAGCCCCCTTGACTTATTCCAGTGCTTTTAGAGCACAAATTGAAGTCAGCTTTGAGACTGTTGAGGTAAGACATCTCCCTAAGGAAGCTTTCCACTAGGTAGATGTCCTAATGACTTGCCTTTTAGGAGTAACATCATAACCTGATCAGGACCAGTGGGCACACAGCTCACTAATGATGGGGTGATGTTGGTGGCCTAGAAATGTCCTCTGAATAAAGGAGAATATTTGCTTGTTTGAGCTACCTGCAACCCAAAGATTTAGTGCTTTTTAGAATGTGCAGAATGCATGGCACCTTGTCTTTCAGAATTTGTTCCTGGTTGAAAAGTGACCTGGAAAAGGATCAGCTAATCCTAGCTAGCAGGCTGATACAGTTCAAAGGAAGCCATTGAAACAGTTTCAGAAGCCTGCCCTGCATAGTCTGTAGAGAACATTTTCTGTTTGCTTTAATTCCTTCCTAGTTATTAGTTCAAGGGAATGGTTTAGGAGATTGTGAACCCATAGGCATAGATTCAGGCTCCTTCCTCAGATTCTAGAATACTTAAGAACTGATTTGTGTATATTTCCTATTGGGAACATAGATTCAAGGTATGCGATATTTGTGTCCAATTGAGAAGACATCTTGACTACTCCTCTTAAGAATAATATGCTGGCCAGGTGTGGTGGCGCACACCTTTGATCCAGCACTCAGGAGGCAGAGGCAGAGGCAGGCGGATCTCTGTGATTATTTTGATATATCACAGTGAAAGATTTATCGTCCTCTTTTTTTTTTTTTTTTTAAAAAAAAAAAAAAAAAAAAAAAAAAAAAAAAAAAAAGACTAATGTGCTGACATGTATGCTGAGACAGTTCTCATCTGTATTCTCTTAAATTTATGTTTCTCTTTTGGAATGAACAATGAGGTGGATAATTGCATTGGATCAGTCAGTGGATAATAGTTTTTTATTAGGCTTTTATCACTACAGTGGAGATCATCACAGTGATCATATTTTAACCACTAAACAAAATAGGAATCTAGCCGTCTATCCATATTTATTCTCTAATCTAGGGGCAGTTGCAGTTGATTTTTTTTTATTTTCTGTAATTACCAATCTGTCTGTCTCCTTCCCTTCCTCCCTCTTTCTCCCTCCCTTCCACCCCCATGTGCGTGTGCGCGCCTGTGTGTGTGTGTGTGTGTGTGTGTGTGTGTGTGTGTGTGTGTGATGGAGTGTATTGATGCTGTGTGAGATTGGAATCACCAGTGAGATTGTGAGGATGTGCTGTGCTGGCCACACATGCCTCTTACAGTAACTGTTTTAGTTAGTCTGGGTCTGCACACAGATACTTACTCTGACTTTGTATTTATTTGTTCATTTATTCACTGTTTACTCATTTCCCTATTATAGTGTGAGCACAAGATGAGGCTGAGTATAGAATTGTATACCAGTTAACAGTGCTCACTTACATAGAACTTGGTCTGTTGCAGAGACATCAGATATCAATCAAGCAATCTCATAAATACATGATTACATATTGTGGTAAGTTCTATTAAGAACCACAATGAGAGAGTGTGTGTGTAATGGAGGAGGAAGAAATTTAGATGGGGGCTGGAAATGAGATATAAGACCAGACCTGACAGAAAAGGGCTTAGGTAAGCCGAATGATAGGAAGACGAAGCATCATGTGTGGATATTTTGAGGTAGGTCCAAGCTTGGCACAGTGAAACACTGAAGAGACTAGCGGAGCTAGAAAATGGCATGGGATCCCCCCCCCTCCCCAAGCTGGCTCTGGCTAATGCTCTGTTGGCAGGTTTGGTTGATCGTTTGTTTTTTCAAAAGAAAACTAAGCTTGGGCCCTTTGAATGTGACTTCCTAAAAGGCATGCTACTAAATAAAGCCTTTTAGAGAAGCACAGAAAATATTTCCTTTATCAAAATGACTAGAACCTCTAGGAGAGCAAGTTTTTATTGATGGTTCCTCCTTCTGTATTTCAGTGTAAATTAAGTTCAGTCCTTCATTTTTGATGATTTGTTTTATAATTAGTTTTCTCCCAATAGTTTGGAACATTAAGATTGGTGGTCAGGAGCCCCATTCTATTTCTATTCCTAACACCCAGTAGGGGTACACAGAGGGAGGGTTCTGCTTTTAGTTAGGAAGAGGTGAGTTATAATTAGGAACAGGATTTGGAAAGTGTGGTCCCTTGTGGCCCCTGGATTTGCCTTTTGTTGCGTGTTTTGACCATTCCTAGTTGCCTCACTTTATTTTTCTTCTCATCTCTGCAGGATCAATAAGCCAAGAGCTGAGGATTCAGGCGAATACCACTGTGTTTATCATTTTGTCAGCGCTCCTAAAGCAAATGCCACCATTGAAGTGAAAGGTACAACCTATCAGAGACTTCAGTATTAGCCGCCCATCCCTCGTGAAATATCTTTCTGCCCTGGACTCCTGGTCTTCAGGCTCTTCTTAGTTTCATTTTGAGGATCAGTGTAATTTATGGCTAGACCACAGAACTAGGAGGCTACCTGGTTTAAATCCAAACTCCATTGTGTACTAGTGCTATGATTTTTGGCAAGTTACTAACTTCTTTGTGTTTCCATTCCTTGATTTGTAAAATAACGATATCAATGGCACTTATCCATAGGTTCGTCAAGAGGGTTGTTATTATAGTAGATTGGACTATGTGAAATTGCTGGTTTATATATGTCAGAGTTTTTAAATACTAGCATCATATGACCCAACATTAGACCATGCCTTATAGTGAGCCTATTTGTAAAAGTACATTGTGCAAGATTAATAAACTATTTATAGATGATTTGTTAAAAGCTTTACAGAAAATCTTTGGGGGTTTGTGTAACATCCTTGAGATAAAGCTATAGAAAGTTTCAAGAAGGGCAAATAGAACTATATAAATTGGGAGCTACCTAATAGCATTAATCTCATTTTTCATTCATTAGTCAAAAGAAGCAACTGTAACTCTGAAAAGTGAAACCGTAGGCTCTGTGTCCTATAATGTGTCTGTGTCAGAGCTAGCCTAGAGTCGCGGTCTTTACTACCAGTACAGTGTGTTTTCACTGTTATAAAATGACTAGGGAGGGCTGGGTGTGGTGGCGCACATCTTTAATCCCAGCACTTGGGAAGCATAGATAGGCAGGCGGATCTCTGTGAGTTCAAGGCCAGCCTGGTCTGCACAGTGAGTTCCAGGCTAGCAGGGGCTACAGGGAGACCCTGTCTGAAAAAGACCAAAACCAAAAAAAACATTAAAAATCCCAGAGACTAAGGAGAGGCAGAGCTACTGTTAAAGGTTATAATTGAAGAGAAACTTTTTATTCTTTTTGTTTTATTTTGTTCAGGAAGGACACAAATTTTTTCTTTAAATCCATGGGATCATCTCTAGAAGCTGGAAAGATAGTCTTCCTTGAAGACTATTGGGAAGATTTCAAAGGCAAATTCAAGAAAGGGTCAGTCATATTGAGCTTCCACTAGATAGTATGAAGGGAAAGTAATATATTGGCAATGCAATCCTAGCTTGTGAGCTAATGCAGGTACTGCCAGTGCCACCTCTGGCTGCCAGATTGAATTCTGCTGAGTGAAGTTTCAGTAGTTGCAGGTCACAAATTCTGCTTTTAAAGAGTGACACATTTTGGGTCTGGAGAGATGGCTCAGCGGTTAAGAACACTGGTTGTTCTTGTAGAAGACCTGAATGCCAGCACCCACATGGCAGCTAACAACTGTCCATAACTCCAGTCCCAGGGGATCTGACAGCTTCCTCTGACCACCGCGGGCATTGCATGACATGGGTGCACTTACCTACATTCAGGCAATACACCAATACACATAAAATAAAAATAATAAATAAAATAATTTTTTAAAAGAAGAATGTCACACTTTAACACGAGGATGTAAGGTATGGAAAAACATTTTCTCAAGCCAGTAATGGGCTTTCACCACTGTAAGTGACTGAGTGGTATGGGGAGACTCACTTTGTGAGATTTGAGGTCTTCAACTTTCCTGACTGAGCTCTTGATAAAAAGTCCCAAGTGCAGTGGACAGGATAGGCGAGGGAGGGGGAGAATGGTGTATTTAGCTTGTGGATCCTCCTTGAGCCTTTGGAATAATTATAAACAATTTAAATTCTAAGTAACTATAATCTTACAGATTTGGTGTTAGTGATTTCTAAGTAGCACGTCAAGAGGAAACAGTTTTTCTGTTGTTCTTGGTCTGGCTGCCTTAGAGCGTAAGGTTCAGAAAACTGGTGAGATGTCTGAGTGGGTAAAGGTGCATGCTGTGCAAGCCTGGGAACCTGCATTTGATTCCCAGAACCCATATAAAGGTATAAGGAGAGAAACAATTCCTCCACAAAGTGCATAACATGGAGCCTCCCTCCCCATCATACAAACACAAAATAATAAATTAAAAAAAAATTTTTTTAAGAAGATGGATTTAGCAGCCCCAGAGGCATCTTTCTCATCTTTCTCTAGAGGGTATGGATCAATAGTGAGAAGGGACAGGGTATAGGGGGCTGCTGGATGAGTATTTTGAGATAGAAGTTACAGCTTGTAGATTGGGAGGTGGTCCAGTTAGTAAAGGGCTTGTCATATAAGTGAAGATCTGACTTTGATTCCTCAGAACCCACATAAAAATGTTGGGCATGGTATCATGCCCTTTCCATCCGATCTCTGGGAAGGCAGAGACAGGAGGATCCCTGGGGTTTGCTGACTATAGCCAGTCTAAGTGAGTCTGCCACCTCCAGGTTCAGTGAGAGATCTTGTCTCAAAAAATTGGAGGAAGAAACTCAACATTACCTCTAGCTTCTGTACTTGCATACATACTCTGTACTTACATACTTGCACAGGTGCCTACACGCATGAATGTAGACGCACAAAAGAAGTTACAACTTGGATGATATGCTATCATATTATATGCTAGTGTGTTAAATTGTTGACTGTTGTGTTTTTACTGTAGCCTTGTGAGGAAGACAGAGTAGATGGTGGTGGTATCCTTGTTTTAAGGACTAAGAAGTTCTGTTAAATGAAATTGTAAAGCATGGTTTGTGATCACATTGAATAGATAAGCATATATAGTCTATCAAGAAAATTCGTAAGGAGTTCTAATACTGTCTTAGCATCTAGCTAGAAAACAAAATGTAATGTCTTAAGTCTTTCGGGATGTGTATAGTTTGGTAAAGATTAGGAACATTTGGCCTATTCTGTGTTAAGTTTAAAAAGGTTTGCATACCCAGGCTCATATTCCAAGCTAGTTTCCAATTGCTTTTGGGTGTAAAAACTGACTTACATTTAAAGTGGAGTGTGTTTTAATTCCAAACCATTGTCATAGGTACTCTCATTTTATTTCCGCAGTGCCTCCAGAGTAGGGTTAATGATAGTTACCTTTTTTCTTTTTTTTTTTTTGGTCTTTTTGAGACAGGGTCTCCCTGTAGCCCCAGACATCCTGGAACTCACTTTGTAGAGAGGGTGGCCTCGAATTCACAGAGCTCCGCCTGCCTCTGCCACCCGAGTGCTGGAATTACAGGTGTGTGCCACCACGCCCGGCTAAAGATAGTTACCTTTTTATAACTGCAGGAATTTGAAAAATAAGAGGTGCTTATACTTGAGAAATTTGCTATGTTCAAGATGGTATGTGACCTCTTTACTGAAGAAGTCTCAGAGTCGTCTTCTGTATAACTAAATTGGCACCTGAAGGCAATGTGATTCAGACCATGTATACATATTTCTTCAATATTTAATTCTGTAGTCAGTCCTTTTCTTCACAGTAAAGAAAGGACTTATGTTTGGTGACCAGGCCTTTTCACTCTGCTAAGTAATCTTAGGGCTAGGAGATGACTTAGTGGGTAAGTGCTTGCTGCATAAGCCTGAGGATCTGAATTTAGGTCCCCAGCACCCACATAATAAGCTGGGTGTAATAGTGTAGGCCTGTAATCCCACTACTGGGAGATGGACACAAAAGGATTCCCTGGGGTCTGGCTGATCAGCCAGTCTAGCCAATCTGTGAGTTCCAGGTTCAATGAGACACACCCTGTCCTCAAAAACTAAGGTGGAGAGTTACAGAAGTTCCCCAGTGTCCACCCTCCCTCCACCCCCACAAAGCAATATTACTCTTCCCATTCCCCTTCTCTAGCATCTATAGCTCAGGCTTGCCTTGAATTTGTGAGCCTCTTGCCTCAGCATTCCAGCACATATCTTAGGTATTCAACAAGTAATCTGTGCAAGTGTGAGAACAGAAGGAGGACCAAGACTGGCTGGCCAGGAGAGCAGAAGGAGCTGTGACATCTACCCCAAAGTCTGTCTTCCCAGAGATCTTTAAAGCTCATTCAGACGGGGGTGCACATCTCTCTAGCTTCTTGACTATAGAGATTATGACTTCTAGGAACTGCACATAGAGGATTCATTGAGAAATAGGTGTTGGAATTTTCTATCAATGTAATTCCTCAATTCTTTGATCCTTTCTCCTCTTGACCTTCCTTCCTTTCTAAAATGGATTTTGTTTTTTTCCTCCCTACTTAGCTTTCTTTGCATTTGAATATTTTTTAGGATGAAATGTTAGGATTTCTTGAAGGACTTGCCCTGCGTCGTCCACCTTGATGAGATACTGGGTGGTGGAGTACGAATGATCATTGAAAGGAATAACATACAGCTCACATTTGGATAGCACCTTTAACAACAGCAGCATTTTCACAGTCATTCATTCAGCAAAAACAGTTGAGCATGAGAGAATACCTAGAGGTTGTAACATCCTTTGTATTGCGAGTGATGTAAAAGTTGGTTTTGACTCAAAGTCTTAGTCTACATAAGAAGTCTTTGAAAGCATGATCTTAATACCATGAAACTCTAGGGCATTAATGAGCATCATCTTAAACTAAAATAACTATTCCTACTCTTCTCTCCAGGGTGCTGCTGACCTTTCATAATAATAGCAGCTACCATTATTGTACACTTATTATATGCCAAGCATTCTTTGATCTTTTCCACTCCTTCAGTCTTCACAATGGTATGGGGTAGATACTATTATTATAACTACTTTCCAGGTGAGAAAATTGAGGTTTAGCGTTGACGCTAAACCAGTGGAGCCAGATTCTCACCCAGGCACTCTAGCACCAGAGCTTGTCTAAGCACCAGGTCATGCTGCTGTGTTCAGCATAGAACAATTAAAGGGCCTTGGACTGAGAGGAAATCTTGCCCTGTCATTAAACTTAACCATGACCTTGACCAGTCACTTCTCTCAGTTTCCTCTAGTGTCAGGTGAAGTAAGATTAAATAGCTAATCTTTTAAGGTTCATTTATTTATGTCTGGCTCTGATAGTCTGTGGTTCCCTCAGTTGAACACAGATGAGAATTTGAAATTAAAAGAAATGAATTCTGA